GAACGTAAAAAGTAGGGAGAACGTGTATCAGTACATTGCATCCATTGCAGCTGTGCATTCGGTTTTAAAGGGACAGAGGCCTAATTTAGTTGCTATTGTCCGAGTCATTCATGTTAATCAAGCAACAACAGAAAGACAGAAAATCGCGCACTGCTCTTGACTGAAAAACTTTAGTACCCCTAAAGATTAATCTAAATGTATTTATAGAAATAAATATGTCTGCTTGAAAGAATGAAGAATATGGTAAATAAGTTGCTATAAAGAATGCATAATTAGCCTATATAACCATTGGTATTTCATAAAACGAAGACCATGTTTTTGTTCTTTATGAGAAGTGGTTTTATTTGATTTTAACATAAAGGCATGTTGTGTGTCACCGCAGTTAAATTGTTGTCTATCATGATATAACCTTAATATCAAACCTATATAATGAGTTTGGAAATTTTAGAGAAATGCTTAATAAATGCATTACACTGTAACTAAACCCATTAGATTTTAGCCGACTAAATTTACTGTAGATTTAGTCGACTAAAATCTTGATATTTAGTCGACTAAAACTAAAAACAATTCAGATGACTAAAATATGACTAAAACTAAATGGCATTTTAGTCAAAAGACTATGACTAAAACTAAATCAAAATTTGCTGTCAAAATTAACGCTGATAGGAATGCATTCATGTATGGTTTTCAAAGTCATCTGTCCTTTGTTGACATTTTTTTCTGAATTGTCCTGTTTTTTGTTGTATTTTTAGGCGGTCAGAAAGCAAGAGTGGTATTTGCTGAACTTGCTTGTCGACAACCTGATGTCCTCATCTTGGTAAGGAGTAAAGGTTTTAAATGTCTCAATTTCATTAAAATTTGTACTTTAAAGTCCCCATGAAATCAAAATTAAAGTTGTTTGGGTGTTAGTATCAATATGTTAGTCTTAAGGTTATCTATAAGGCAGTGTGCTCCAAAACAGAGACAAAACTCGCATTTAGAAGATATAAGCATTCAAAGCTTGCAGTTCGTCACTTCCGCCAAAACGGTTCAATGATTTTTTTGACGTCACATCGTACTTCAGCTTCTCATCAAACTTTCTGTCCAATCAAATGCTCTCTAGAATCCGAAGCGCCTGCCCCCTACACTATAAAATAGACGCTGAAGCTGCAGCTGAAATCGGTCACTTGTCCACAGAATTAGTATTTTCTGTACAGTGAATGGCACGTAGTGCACTATATAGGGGACAGGGAACGATTCAAACTAAATAAGCTTTCCATCGAGGAAAAAAGAAGTCTGGTTTCGTGCTGTGTCACGCTAACCACCGCACCGCACACACACTCTGCTCAGGTCCAGAGACACGATAGCACGGAGCGGATCACATACGCGAGTCGGCGCAGACCACAAAATGTATCGGAGCTATTTGAATTCTACACAGAATGCTATATTTTATAGCAATATGGATGAGATTGTGGCTGGCATACCCCGTCAAATGCAGCTTTACGGAGCTCAACGGCTCTGAACGGCTCTAGCCCAAGCTGTGATATAAACGAACGCTATTGGCTAATTTAAAAAGGGGCGGGGCTGCTTGATATGTCCCGCCCTGTCTTCCTGTTTCAGTTAAAATGACGTCAACACATAGAGTAACGCTGCGTGTTTCTTAGCATTTCTGGGGAGCTTTAACATTTTTTTTCCATACAAATGTACAGGATGAGCCCACAAATAACTTGGACATTGAGTCGATTGATGCATTGTCAGAAGCCATCAATGAATACAAAGGAGGTATGTTTTTTTTTTCCCACTAATTTTATTTGTTGTGGTGAATGATCTTGTGTGCATGTAAATCCATTCAGATGTTCTGTAAGATTTCTAAACTATATACAATGATTATGATAGTGGAAACCAGGGGGTAAAGTCTTTATTATTAACATTTAATATGAATCTTTTTAGCTGTGATAATTGTGAGCCACGATGCCAGGCTCATCACGGAGACCCAGTGCCAGCTGTGGGTGGTTGAGGACCAGTCGATCAGCCAGATTGATGGAGACTTTGACGACTACAAGAGAGAAGTGCTGGAGGCTCTTGGAGAAACCCTGGTCAACAAGCCTAAAGAATGAACAACGGCTGGTATTAATAACAAGTGTCAAACTACATCACTGAAGGGCTTTTTGTTGCATCTACATTGCTAATTTTTAAAGCCTCAATACTGAAATAAATCCTTCTTGGTAAATTGACAGATTATGCTGAGCACCTGCATGCAAACTGTGTAGGGTGATATACACAAACCCTACAATACCAGGATGGGTTTTTCACGTCTTTTACTTTTAAAATAGGTGAAGACCAATTCCAAATCAGTATTTTTACTTGCTGACAATTTATACATACAGCGCTTGTTCATTAGTCGTGATGTCTGGCATTCTTGTATTATGCTTACATTCAGGCCATATCATTACCAGCTCTGTTCATCCATGTGATGCAATGCTAGAAAACATACTGTGTCACTATCAAATGTGAACAGATGTGGCTAGAAGTGTGCAGTTTGATAATGGTGTCTGTCGGCGGATGCATATATTTAGTATTAAACTGCCTTTATAGAATGAACACTTGTGTTCAGGTCATTAAGCTCACATTCAAAACCAGCTCCAAAGTGTTTAACCTATATAAATGTTCATACAGTGATGCTTCCTGTAGCTCATCTGTCTTGAATGAGGAAATAAACTATTGACTAACTTGATTTGAATATAAAGTATGCATCCAAATCTCATGGAAAAACAAATAAAACATTTTTTGCAACAAAGTCAAGTTTATTGGAGATTTCATATATTATGCTTGTTGTCTTGCCTGGACAAAATGTAACATTTTCTTCTTGCTCATAAGTACTGTTATGGAAACATCATTTGGATCAAACTTCCAACCGCTATTTGAAACAGACCTTAGCCAGGGTAGCACAATGTCCTTTCTGATAGGAATGAAAATGAGTTTGTGAGGGATAGAAGTACAGTGCGTTTAATGGATTGTACTGCTGTTTAACAAAATACAGATTTTTTCATTTGATGAAATGTCTTTCCAAAAAGCTTTCAGTAGACAAAACGCCATAAATTAGTTTTAAAAATTACATGTGATTTAGGACCTGCCATTGTAAAGACTGTAAGTCTATCCCTAACTGCCTCATTCTCATGTAAAATACACAGCATCTGCTCTTAATGTGTAAAGGTCTTTTACATCAAGATTCAAACATCTGGTTTCAGGTAGTCTTTGTAGATCCGCTTCACTCTTGCCAGTTCTCGCTCATCTGGTTTTATACTTCCATACCACGGATACCACAGTTCTCCAGAGCTGAGAGAAAATGGGGCAGGAGTTGGTGCTACAGCACCATGAGTGTTTGAGTAGTCCTCTTTAGAGTAATCAACATGAGGTAACTGGACAGAAAGTAAACCTTAAACGAAGGAAGAAAAAAAAAACATCACATTAAGCACTTGTGCACCAAATAATGAAACTGATCATTTCTTTTCATAAAATGACTTGTTTGTGCACATTGGCACTTATAACAATAATAAAAGTGTCAATTTACCACAATCTCTAGCAGTTTCAATGGCCTTGTTAAGTAGTTTCTGTTGTTTCATACAAACACCTGAGGAAACAATTGAAGATGAAAAGTGCTGATCAGATCATGATCACACCAGAAATGTGACACTTGAATGTATTAAGAAATTCATTACCGGTTCGAGTGGGATCATGCACAATTCCTGTTTGAGGACTAATGAACTGCTGCAACAGGTTCACATTCTGCAGAGGAAAAGCGTGTATATTAAAGCAAATACATTGTCCTCACACACACAAAAAAGACAGAATCGAAAAACAAACCTTGTAATGGACAATGATGTTTGGATCACGACAGATGGGACAAGGGTTGCCGCATATCTTGTCACCTCTCTATGACAAGACAATCATCCTCATTAATACAAATTGAATGGACTGAAAAAAAAGTCTGAAGAACAATCAATCAATCAAAATTCAAAACAAATGTGAACTTACAATACAGGTCTTTCTTGTCTTTTGAGGAGGGACGCCCCCTTTATGATTCCTTCTGTAGTTAGACCAAACAGGCTTTGATCCATAGCGCTCAATGTACTCTAAAGAGAGATTTGAGCAACATTAAACGCAGTTTTAACCACAAGTAATTCATTTTAATCATCTAATCAATCATATTTACCTTCACTTTCTAAGTATTCCCATGGTCTGTCTGAATATCTAGACAGTACCTCAGCTGAATCCGTGTCATCAGCAGATGATGAAGATGATGGTGATGATAAAGCACGAAAATTCAGATGCAGCACTGGAGCACTTATTTTCCAATCACGGATTCTCTGCAATACAAAACGCGTAATTTGTCCTTTATGTTTGTTGATGTTGTTTGCACGCGAAATGAGTGGACAGCAACAGACATATTTATACATACTGTATAAAAAAAACATCAATTAATATATGTATCTGTAACCAAACAACCAACCTGTGCTTGAATATTTCGTTGTAAAATGACAGGAAATGTGCGGCAGATAACTATTCCAATGCGTTGTAAGGAGGCTGCCATTTTGTTTTGTATCAAAGGAAGTTGTCGAGGTTACAGTGTACTGTGACGGAAGTGCGCGTTTATTGTTCTCACATTTTCATTTTAAAGGAGATCGTTTAAAATGAATTCATACAGTTTACCTAGTCAAATATTTCAGACAGAAATCAATGTAAAAAATGTATTTTTATGTGAAACGTTTCCTGAAACGACCCTTCGTGTTGGTCAGTTTGCCAGCTAATTATTGCATTTTGTGCCAATGTTTTGCATTTTTGTCTTATATAAATGTTGTTATGTCTTATATAAACGTCTTATATGTGGTTATATAAATTATCGTTTAAATGAATGAATGTTTACTTTTAACCCACACTTTGAACATAATAGCGTTACAGTGATTTACATAAAGGCTGAATCTGCCTTACAACAGCTAGTTCTTGAATTTGCATAAACGAATACGCCTATATTATTGCACAGTGATGAAGAGTGAATTCTTACGTTACTTTCATTAAAAAAAATCCAACACATTAATGATTATCTTTGCATAGAAAGCACGTAAAATCACCGGAAACCGGAGTGGGGGATGGGCTCGTCCTTGAACACACAGAAGAAGGTAGTTTCTAGCGGAGCGCGTGATCATCAACTCCATTTTGTGCTGACAGCGCGCGCGCGAGCCCGGGATGACGCGAAAAACGTCCGAACTATATAAAGCGAGTCCCACCCTTACTGAAGCATTCCTGGATTTGTCTGAGGTAAGTGTCGTATCGGAGGACGGCTCTCCAACTTTTTGCGATTTAAAAGACGATTTTTATCCCAAAGTTCGGCTACCACATTAGTTTTTATCGGCAAAAACTACCTTTTGATCGTTTTCTGGATTTCCGCTGCCAAACATTCGCTTTTCTCTAATGTTCCTTTGTGCTGTTGTTTCGTTTCAGATCTGAGTCGGTCTCAGTGAAGATCTGGCGTCGAGGATTTTTCAACTGTGCGAAGATCAAAGCCCCAAAAACTCAATTGTTCTACTCGAGTAACGGACATTCGCTTACTACTTTTTTTGCTCCAGATTGTTCAAGAAGGAAAAGCTCAATTTCAGCCACCACAATCCCGCCCATTATGCCATTTTTCAGCCAATAATGCTAAAGTCATGACAGTTTACGTTCTCTTAAACTGTTAAAAAGCTGAACATTGTTGCTGTTAAGCACAATATATTAATAGCAACCCGAGACGCAGAGGAGAGGTATTAATAGTAAGTGTTTTTTCAAACCAATTTGAATCTAAACTACGTAACAGTTAACCAGTTGTCTGTTGAAAATGATTCCAGATATAAATCGGGATTAAAAGTTCCTAGCTGTATAGAGCGTGGCGACCTAAATGCGCCACAGTTTCTAGAAGCAGACGGCATGCTGAGATAAAGCGAGACTAGTGTATGAGCTCACACCGCAAAGCCAGAGCAGTGGCTTCAACGCCCTGCTTCTCTTTGTGTGTGAGACGGAGCAATCCTAATGATTATTAAAGTAGCGATAAATCATCGAATAATAAGCTAGCCATCGCTAGTCATGAGCAATCTGTACATAAAGATTGCCATAGGCAGAGCCAGGAAGTGACCGCATTCAATTGGGGCTTTTTATAAACTGCATTCTTTTCAGAGGAGAGCTCACTGGAACAACCAACGCAATCTGCACATAAAGATTGCCAAGTGGTGCCTCTGGATTTAGTCGAACGGATAGAGAGAAAAACGGACTGAGATGCAACATTTTGTTCATAATAATGTCGTTAGGTGTTATTAGTTGGCGGAACTGGATACCCGTTGAGCTAGTTTGGTGAAATAAACCTCCCTAGGCAATGATAATATATAAAAATGCATAGCAGTCTGACTATAAAGATTGCATTTTTTGTGTTGTGTGCTTAACGAGTGCGTAGATAGGGTATTATTTGTCTTGTCGACTTCGCTTTAAAATGGCGGACGGGTTGTCCTTTGCTCAGATCACTCGAGGCAATGGTGGCTGTTTTTCTGACTGGATCTACGGGAAATACTGTAGCTCGGAACGGCTGTCTCGCGTCGCCATCATCCCCATATACAGCTCGAGGTAGCGTCTTAATATCCGTGAGTCGCTAGCGGGGTAAATATAGTAACACTTTGTAAACGAGCAAGACAAATGCCAGGCGGGGGAACATAGCCGTTGTGTTTTTAAAAGCTTGTTGGAATTCAAAGATGGCGACCAGACAGCCGTTCACGAACACAAGTGGTTAAAGACAGTGGGCGTGGTTTACCGCAGACTTCAGCCAATCAGAGGAGCCGCTGTCAGCTCAGCGCGAGCTGCTGTATGAGAGATTGAGACTTCGACAGAAGGCAAATCAACCCCCCCCCGTGGCCACTATTGAGCAGATGCATAAATTCATATTGCTGGACTTTAGTCAGAACAACACTGGATGCTTAAGTGTTGACGAGTTCTAACAAAAAACGAATATTGCTATTTGCTTAAAGATGCCAGCTGTTTATGTTACATTTACATTTAGTCATTTAGCAGACGCTTTTATCCAAAGCGACTTACAAAATGTTACTCTCGATTCAAAAGTGAAAGTAGGTTGCATGGTGTTGAACTTGATCTATAGCGCTGTAGGAAGAGTCTTATACAGGACAGGGTGTAATGTAACTTTAAAAGTGAAAACAATGTTTTCTTCACATCTGCATTCCATCAGAAACCTGACAGATACAATGTTAATCTTTTCTTTCCAGTGAATGTACAATCTTGTTGACTTTTTCTTGTTTGTTATGACAACTGTGACGGTTCCAGGAATTGTGTGTATTGTTCGGTGTTTAAGGAGTTCGGTTGTGACTATAAAAAGTTCTTCAACAACAGTGTTACGGGTAAGACAAAACCTGATTTCTCACACGATCAAAAGTGAGTAAATTCTCATTTTTCGACATTAGTAGACCTTTTATCACTGTCTTGGAAATTATGTAGAACATGCATTCAAACGTTGCTAAACACTTGCATGCTTAACAGTCGTAAAAATCTCTATACATTCGGTGTATATTTCTATTTCATGTGTAATTCGTCCCGTTGTTCATTTTCTGCTGTAGTTAGTTGGTTAGTCTCGCTGGTGTCCAGTCAAGTGTGCTGTAGTGAGAGGAACTGAAGAAGAAATACTCACTGATGCTCCGCGTGGGCAGGGCAAATCACGTGACTCTCTCTCGCTCTCTCTCACTCGCGCTCACTCACTCTCTCACTCACTCACTCTCTCACTCTCTCTCTCACTCACTCACTCACTCACTCACACTCTCTCTCACTCTCTCTCACTCTCTCACTCCCTCACTCACTCACTCACTCACACTCTCTCTCACTCTCTCTCTCTCTCTCTCTCTCTTTGTAATTAACTTAACTACGTCAGATATTATTATCATTGGCATATGTCCATTTCATTTGTCTAATAATGTACCGTTTTTATTGCATATATTCTACTTGTTTCTGTATTTTAATATATCTTGATCACATTTGATACTTGCATTTCTTATTGCTGCGTGGCAAATACACTGTTTCTGTATTTGTGTATATTTAGAAATAACCACATGGTGGCGACATACAACTTAGAAAGTCTTGTGTTCAGTCGCACAAAACCCCTTAACTTAACCCTTAGTGATAATACACTTATTTACTTAAGGAGTTTCTTGCAACTGGATATCGATAAAGTCTTGTAAGCCTTTCAGAGTCTATTTCCTTCATTATATATTTTTTCACATTACATTATGTTCAAAATTATTATAATCATTAAAATTCATTTAACACGTTTTTTGGCCAAAATATGGACAAAATTGCCAATATTATTGGGGTAATATGTATTTAATATGTAATATTACATATAAAAAATTATAATGAGGAAATAGACTCACTAAGGCACTTCAAAAAATAATTTTGGGAATTCTTCCCCCCACTTAGTGGTTCTAGACTTCTGTATACATAAAACATACTTAAAACATGAAAACATAAATAAAAAGGTCCATTTAATGTACTGAGATTTGAAAAACCCCAGTATTATAGGAAAATATTTAAAGCTTACTGTTTAAAATTAGTATACATGTTGGTCCCACTTTATATTAGGTGTATTTAACTACTATGTACTTACAGCAAAAAAAAGTATATATTTTATTACTTGTGTATTTATTTTGTGCATTGTACTTATTGTGTATTGCAAAGCATTAAGGTGGGAAACTGGTAAGGTTAGGTCAGGGTGGGTTCATGGGTAGGTTCTGTTGATGCAGTTACAAAAATACTTACATGCAGGTATTTTTAAAATATAAACACAGTGTAAAAACAAGTATGTACACAATAAGTACATTGTATCAAATTAGTATTTAAAGTGTTAAAATTAAATTGAAAGACTGAAGCTAGTGTGGGTCCTATGCATTTTATATCCATCAACCCCATAGCAATGACAACTGTGGATATGGGTAAAGTCTTTGTAATATTTTTTCATGCTTTCAGATTTTATAACAAGTGTTACTTATAATATTGTAACGGTTTCGGTTTGTAAGTGTTTACAGACATCTCATTTTATTATAGGATCTTTCATCTATTGATGTTAGGTTATAGACAGATGGATCACAGCAGTGTCTAACAAGGAAATATGATATTAATGCCAGAGTCCCTGTGTGCTTTACAGCTGACGTGTGACAATGCTTTTCTGATAAACAAGAAAATCCAGTCAATCATTTGAACACTTTTACTGTGCCCTCCCTAGTTTTTCTTGAAATACTTGTGATAAATGGTATTAGTTGTGCTACAATTGAACTTCTGGAGGATTACAAAAATTACTCAATTGCTAATAAAAGAAATTGTAAAAACTATGTTTAACTCTTAAGTGCATTCTCAAATTTTGCTCTTGTATAATTCTCATTATTTAAATTACATAATAATCTGAATGCACATTACTGATCACAGCCATTATATTATTTTACATGTCCTTTGTACCTGTGATGTTTACTTTGGGTAATGTACAGTGTATATAAAAAGCAGGTGGGTTTATGACAGTGACATGACACATGTAATATAACATTTTACTTCTATGTTTATCTTTGATCATTTCAAATTATGAACTACATTATGCAGCGCTCGCATAACCAGTCACCCAGTTTGAGTTTCTCGTATAATTAAATAAGTGACAGACTTACTCAATCATTCTAGAAGATTGGTTACATGAACGCTGTATAATTCAGTCTGCAGTCAGATGTTAAAACTATAACAGTTGTAGCAGCTGCCCCTTTCTAGTAACAGTAAGTCCAGTAAATACTGACAGCCCACCAGACATCATATATTAAACATTTTATTTACCGAGGAGGATTCTTTGTAGTCAGTTGGAGTATATTTTGGGGCTCTAGTAATAATCTTATGTTACAATAATATAATTTTCTAAAAGATGAAACATGAATTTGAGAACCAACTGTTGTTTGAAGTAGTGTGTTTATTAATGAATACACTACTTTTTCACATTCTGCTGTTGTGAACAGAACGGACACGGCTTGTTCTGTGGTCATGATCGCACTTGTGATTTCAAATCACATCAGGTGTGAGCCAGAAAACTGATAAGACATCCGTATCTGATTAAGTACAATATATAAAACATTTAGGAGTTTCTCTCCGTTCTTTGAATGCATACATGCAGAGTTGCTGTTCTGTGATGTCTTTGGTAGTCATGTGACCATTTTTGTTCCCAGCGTCTTCAGAATTTGTTGTTTCAAAGTTATTTCAGATCCACAGACGCCTTGGTAAATGTACATTACTACGAACTTTTCAAAGATTCAACGTTGTCCTTGTGCTGTTCCAGTGAGCTCTCCTGAAGTGCCATGATCTCATTATTTCAGTATTGACTGGGTGATTTCGTGTCATATCCAGATTTTCCCCAGTGGCATAAGCACACGAATAACCCCTGTTTTCCCTCCCTCTGTCAGTAAGCAGCTATGGCCGTGGGCCCAGTGGACCCCAGAGAGGTGCTGAAAGGAGTTGAAGCTCTGCTGGGGAAGGATGGAGAGCTACGAAGCCTTGAGGGAGTTGCTAAAGTCTTCAGGTGAGAAGCTGTACCATTTTATTTTCTGGATCCCTTCTAAAAAAAAAACATGAATTCCTTTACCAATAGTATTTCTAACATGTTTTCCTCTTTTCAAACAGTCTCATGAAGGCCTCGCATAAAATGGTCAGCAGATGCATGTATCTGAACATCTTACTGCAGACAAAGTCACATGATGTACTTAATCGGTAAGAATAATATCCATCAAAAGAAACATTTGAAACCTTTTTTGTTCTCAAGGTTATGCTTGACTATCTCTTCTGCTCAGGTTTATTCGAGTTGGAGGCTACAAGTTGTTGAACTCTTGGCTCACCTACTCAAAGACCACCACTAACACCCCCCTGCTGCAGCTCATACTGCTCACCCTGCAGAAACTCCCCCTGACTGTGGACCACCTCAAACAGGTACTTCACCACACCACGGCCCATAAAACTCACACGCATGCCCCCGCAGTCTTCTAACACGTGCTCTCTGTCTGTCGTCTTTTCTCCTGCTAGAACAACACAGCCAAGCTGGTGAAACAACTGAGCAAGAGCGGCGAGACAGAAGGTAAGAGCACATGTTCCATGAATCGATGCCAGACAGTCTGCTTACTGTCTTCCAGAACTCAGGTTTGATCTCTCTCTCTTTCTCTCAGAGCTGAGGAAGCTGGCGTCAGTGCTGGTGGAAGGCTGGATGGCTATTATCCGCTCTCAGAGCATCTCCAGTGGAGCGTCACCCAATGGTAGGGTTTCCAGTTTACATTGTTTTCTATGTCACTCTGTTTATGTTGAAGTAGACTTAATGCACTTTTAACTTGAATTATTAGAAAGTGGGGTTCCCATTATTGGCGAATAACCCAACTCTGTTTTCCATCAGACAAGAAACGGAAAAAGGAGGATGGAAAAGTGCATCCAGAGGTGAAGCCCCGAGAAAAAGGAGCAGAGGAGGAGAAGAAAGACAAACCAAAAGCTTATGCCCCAAGTCATGCAAAGATCCGCTCTACAGGTTAGTCACCAGTGTTATTTTAGTGTAATTTATATAATATTAGAGTATTTAGTTATATTTTTAATTAGGTTTTGTTACTATATTTTAATTTTTATTTTAGTTTTAGCAATTGTTAGTATTTATTCATGATTTTAATTAGGTTTTATTACATTTACATTTTAATTTGAGTTTTTATTTATTCTTTTTTTATTTTTTAATATTCCTATTCAACTTTTTTTTGTTCTAGTACTTCAAATTTATTTATTTCAGTTAGTTGCCAAGAATGCAACATTTGTATTTTTTTTTTTTTAAGTTTAGAGTTTTTATTTTTATATATATATAAAATGCTATATGTATGTTTTATTTTATTAACTGAAACTGTTAATATTTAATTTTATTAACTTTATCAAAAACAATTTTGTTCAGGTTTATATTTGATTCTGTTTACATTTATTCTAAACATTGTGTCTTCAGGTTTGGAGGTGGAGAGTCCAGCTCCAGTTCCTGTGAAGAAAACCCCCTCTGCACCCCAACTTGGAGACAAATACAACATCAAGCCTGCTGTTCTCAAAAGACCAAGGTAAGTGGACACTACATTTCTTTCTTGCAAATAATGAACAGGCACATGTAATCCAGGAATCCAGGATGGGCCCTTTCTCATTTGATTCATGATTTGAATGAATTTGAATGCAGTTTTACTTCAGAGGGTTTGAAAATGAATCATTCAACTCATTATGACTCTGCTGTTCATTCAGCACATCGCCGACCGACGCACCACCAGTGGAGAAGAAGTACAAGCCCCTTAACATCACCCCCAACTCTACCAAAGAGATCAAAGTCAAGCTTATACCCCCACAGCGTGAGTATGCCCGTTCAGCACCTGCAATATGATTATGATTATCTGCAATAAACGAGAGTAGCGTTTCCTCTCCGACTGGTGCTTAATATCCATTTCTCTTCGTTTTAGCGATGGAAGGCACTGGATTTTTGGATGCCCTCAACTCCGCTCCAGTGCCTGGCATCAAGATCAAGAAAAAGAAACCAAAAGCAGTTTCCCCTACCACTAACAAGGTGTGCCACATCAGACAACCCTCATTTGTGTTTATGCTTCATGGATTAAAATTTTCCACAGACCCACTGACTTTGTTTTGTTCCTCTCATCTCTCTTGTGCTCCACAGCCCTGTCCGTTTGACAGCAGGCCGCAGTCATACTTGGGCACACAGGCCAAACCGTCTTCCCCTGAGACGCCCTCATCTCAGACACCTCCTCATGAGAACCAAGACCTGGAGCAGCCTGGCACACCCGTGCCCACCGAGGACCCTGATGCCATGGAAACCGGTGAGTCCAGCTGCATAGAAATTGGCCACAGCCTCACTGAGAGCCGTATGAATTTAAAAAGCCTTATTTCGTGTTTTAAGGTGATAAACCTAATGCTCTGTCTGAACCTCGCGGTGAGGAGGAGAGTCTGACTAAGAAAGGAAAGAAAAAGAAAAGCGTTCGGTGGGCGGAAGAGGATCATCTCAAAGAGTACTTCTACTTTGATCTGGATGAGACTGAGAGAGGTAAAGCAACTCTTTCTTCACTTACACTGCAGTTTAAACGTTTGAGGTTTGTAAGGTTCTCTTCAATAAAAAAATACAGTAAAATAAATCATATTATTACAGCATAAAACTATGAATACCTGAAAATACTTGTGGGATTTGGTCAATCATAATCATCACTCTTTTTCCCTCTGTCTCAGTGAACGTTAATAAAATTAAGGACTTCGGCGAGGCGGCCAAACGGGAGCTGATGATGGACAGGCAGACGTTTGAAATGGCTCGTCGTCTTTCTCACGACACCATGGAGGAGAGGGTGCCCTGGACTCCTCCGCGACCCTTAACCCTCATAGGCACCCTGGTCATTCCTGGTTCCAGCAGCAGAGAGAAGATGATCCAGAGAGACAGAGAGATGGGCATTCTGCAGGAGATCTTCCTCAGCAAAGAGAGGTAAGACAATTCTTTGATGATGAACAAAATGACTGAATGATGTTTCAGTTTCTTTTGAAGCATTCTTTCTTTTCTCATGTAGTGTGTCATGTTTAGTGATTGTTCATAGCATGAAACAACATTCGCAAAGCATTTAATGCCCACAATAGGCTGGGAATCCTTTTGGATTTGACTGGATTATGAAAAGTGGGCCATGATATTATTAACTACTTAGAATAATATGCACAAATCATTTTAGTATTATTTATATGCTATTATAGTTTTTTAAAAATACTTAGTATTAAAATAATTAGTATCAAAAATATTTTTTTATATTTTCAGTTCTCATTTTAATTTTTGTTAAATTTTTAGCGATTTGTTTTTTTTTTACTCTTTATTTATTATTTCTTAATTTTTTTACTTTATTTATTTTTCAGATTTAGTATTTATTATTTATTTATTTCCTGTTAAGATTTTTTTTTTTTTTAATATTAAAAATAGGTTTTTCATCTAATATTATATTTTATTTTAGCTTTAACAAAAAAACGTTTTTAATAGATGTTTAAAAACCCTTGCACAAATGAATCATCCACATAGGTGAATAAAGTAAACAGGGTTAAACATGTCTTTAGGGGCTTTAAATGGACATATATGGTTTGCTTCCCTCTCTGCAGTGTTCCAGACACTTCTCATGAGCCAGACCCTGAGCCGTATGAGCCCATGCCTCCTCGTCTCATCCCACTGGATGAGGTAAGACAGCCAATTACCTTTTCATATGCTTTCCCCTTCCATTTTTTTCTTGGCATGTTGATGACCTCTTTCCTCTGTGGTGTTGTAGGACTGCAATATGGAGGAGAATTACATGGAGTCCGCTGACGCTGCTGCCTCCGGCGGCTCTTCAGGCTCTAATGAAAGCTCCAAGCTGCCTCCTGTTCTAGCTAACCTCATGGGAAGTCTGGGCAACAGCGGCCGCAGCCCTCAGGCGCAAGGCAACGGCCCACCAGCCAGTAATAACCCCGCTGTTAATGTGCAGGAACTGCTCTCATCTATCATGGTAAGATTTAATGGCTATATGTACATGTTATTTACCACGAGAATGTGCAAAGGCTTTTATTTTAAGCGTCTCCTCTGGTTTTCAGGGTGCTCAGGGATCTAACCAGACTCCAGAGGACCTGATCAAACAGCCTGATTTCTCAGATAAGATCAAGCAGCTTTTGGGCTCTCTGCAACAAAACCAGAACCAGAATCAGAACCAACCTGCCAATGCTCCGCCAAGTACGTGTTTGCTTTCTTTCAACTGTTTCATTGTAATATAGCTATTTTTTATTTTTTTGCTATGTTTTTAAAATATTTTTTATTTAGGTTTATTTCAGTTTTAGTTGAATAATTTTAGTACTTCAACTTATTTTATTATTCTTATTTTTTATTCTAATTATTTCTTTATATTTTGTTTAATTTCTGAATTAACCAAAACGTTAAGGTTTTAGTAATTTTTTTGTGATTTTTGATTTATTTTTATTTTTTATTTTGGTTTATTGATTTTATTAGTTTATTCAGCTTTAATTTCAGTTTTAGTTCAAGTAATTTTATTTACTTACTTATATCAGTTAGTTGCCAATCAGTATTTCTAATGAAGTTTTTGTTTTTCATTTTTATTATTATTATAATATATTATTATATTAATATTTATTTCAAATAACACGTTTTTGAAATTTTGTAACGTGCTTTGGTGATTTTTTTTTTTATTATTATTTATTTTTATTTCAGTTTAGTTTAAGTAATTTTTCGAGTTTTTTTTAGTTTGTTTTTCATTTAATATCTTTCATTTTATTTCTGATTTATTTCAATAAACTAAAGCCTTTTATTATTTTATTGTAGTTTACCATAACATTGCTTTGTTTTAAATTTTTAATTTTCTGTAAAGTTGCTTTGCAACGATTTGTATCGTAAAAAGCGCTATACAAATAAACTTGAAACTTTGTTGAGGAACAACTGCATGATGGTTAAACAGCATATTTAATGTTCTGTTTCCCTCACTTCATAGTGAACATGGGTCTGCTTGGCCATGGCCCCGGCATGAACAACATGCCGATGCCCATGAATGGGGGTTTCCCTCCAAACAAGCCCCCTGGACCACATTTCAACCATCCTCCTCCTCCCCACGGCCACGGCCCACCCTTCAACGCCGGCGGCCCACGCATGATGGGTCCTCCACCTGGTCCACAGGGCCGTGGGGCAGACAACGGCAACTACTGGGGCGACGACTCCATGAGAGGAGGCCCGCACCGGGGAGGACACTTCCACAGGGGGAGAGGGAGAGGAGGAGATCCGGGCTTCAGAGGACGAGGGGGACGCGGGGGACCACGCGGGGGACACAACAACATGGGCGGTAAGTTTGATTGCCAAACACTTTGAATTTTCCAACATTTCAAATGAGCATGTAAATAGCAATCTTTTGGTTTCATTTCAGACATGTCAAATAGGCCGGTGTGTCGCCACTTCATGATGAAGGGAAATTGTCGGTATGAAAATAACTGTGCGTTTTACCACCCCGGTGTAAACGGACCACCGCTTCCTCCCCAGCACGGTCACTGACACACCGAAAACTGCTGTTCCTTGAACTCGCCACTAGTGGGCAACAGGACTCGAAATGAGCCTCGTGGACAGAAACTGAAACCGGGGACGTTTGCGTCTGTGACAGCACAATCCCACCTGCTTCCTCCGACTGTACAGTTGCTTCATTGGATCTGAACATTAATATTTCTTCTCCATTTGACACTACTTTCCCTCATCTGGAAAGCTGTGAGAAGATCTGAGATCCTCTGTGAAGAGACACATTACTTGACTTTGCTGTCTACCTGTAAATAGTGATTCCTGGAGATGTATATTTTTATTGTGATTCTGTGTACCACTGACCTGACTGCTAAAGATTGTACTACAGAACTCTGTAACCACTAGGACACGATATAAATAGTTCCTTAAGCTTCTCCCGGTGGCAAAAACCCAAGATACTGGATGTGCAGTTTTCTAAATTATAATTCACACGTCAGTCATTCTTTGCCTAATGAAATCGACACTTTGAAAAGTTATCACCGCACAGAACGTTTATTTTAAGATTTTCTGGTTGAATTAAGTCCCTCTGACGTTGCCGTACTGTTTGATGTTTTATTTTCAGGTTTCTATTGAAGAGGGAGAAACCGTACGTCTATGAAATGTGTAGATGCTTTCAAATTTCCAGATTTTCCTTTTTCACACACGGTCCTCGTTTTTTCAGTACACGATTTTTAGTTTTAAAGATACTGAAATGTATTGATGAATTGGCATTATGTTCACTTCTCGCCCCGAATTGGAAATAGTATGTACGCAAGGGGTTAATACTATTCAGAACCGCTACCTTTTGCATTTTTGAAGTCCCACTGAATACTTGAATCGATACTTTGTGATGGAAAGTGATCCTAGCCTGCTAAAGAAATATCAGCTGTTGTTCTGTGTAGTGTGATAATCAGGAGAATTAGTGCTGATTTCCTACTTGACGTTGATGCTGTGGCTTGATTTGCTGTGCGCTCGTGTTCTCGGACTCGTGTGGGTCTGTCCTGCTCTATCGGTGTTCAGCTGAGCCTAACCTGGGCTACAAACCACTGTCATCAAGGCCAAACGTATTCAGGTGTTTTCTGTGAAAACCGTGGCCATTGTCTCTTGTGGGACTCTTTTTTTTGTTGGATTCACTATTGTCCCATGATTTTATAAGTCTGATGATTTTTCTTTTCTATTTTTTGTCGGAGAGATGTCTATGTGTCAGAGCGCCGCATAAACACAATAAAAGGCACATTCAGAAATGTAAGGTGTTTTTCTACATGTAAATGAATAAACGTTACGAAATTCACATTTTCTCTCAAATTAACTTTTATTTTCGGAGCAAGTGTCAGTATATAAGGACCACTCTCTCTCAGTGCCTGTTTGCTTTTTTAACCTCTAAATGCCTCGTCGGTTGAATATGTCAAACGGTTACGTTAGGATTCTACGCAATCCCACTGAATCCTCCTCGCCCTCTCATGGCAGTCCGGTCAAATGGCTAACAGTCGTTTGCGGGTGCGTTTGCCTTCCTGTCTGTCAGATCCGTGTTCTCAGGACGCAGTCGGTGCAGATGGCTGCTGGAGTGTGTGTGATCAGGAGTGGCCTGTGCACCCAGCCCTCGAGGGCAAATATTGACTTCAGCTTCATAGAATTTCTGCCTGTGTGCAAGGAGTTAAGGACACCTCAGCAATTCATTCATCCTATGTAACGCTCGTTTCATTTTTGCAAGCTTTCAGTGTGTACTCCTCAGCCACTGTACGGGAAAAAAGTTACAAAAAAATAAAATAAAATCTAGGTCTTTGCTGTGTATAAAAACATCCTGTGATCGTGATGCTATACTAGATTGCTGTTGACAAATGTTATTTTACATTCTTTTACTTCCAAGGAATTCATCTGTTTGTTTAATGTTTATTTCAAGAAAATAACTAAATCAAGCAAGATGTATTCAGACAAGTAACTCATTTTGGTAACAGGGCTGGAAATAAATGTAAGTAAATGTAAATGTAAGGGTTCTATTGTTCAAAAGTTTTGGGGTCAGTAAGATTTATTTATTTTATTTCAGCAAGGACACATTAAATTGATCAAAGGTGACAGTAAATATTGTTACAAAATATTAAAATACAAAATATGTATTAAATGCAAAATTATGTTCTATTATTAATAATATATAATTTTAATAAAAGTATATAGTTTTATATATTTAAATTATACAAAAATATTTATATAATACATTACAAACTATTGAAATACAATTTGAAAATATATTTATATTTACATTTTATTAATATAAATGTTATATACACTATATATACAGTGTGTGTGTGTGTGTTGTTCATTTATACAAAATATTTTTATTTCAAATAAATGCTGTTTTTTTGTCTTTCTATTAATCAAAGAATCTTGAGAAATAATGTATCAATAATCAATAATGCATGGGTTCCACAGAAACATTAATCATAACTGCTTTCAGCATTGATAATAATAATAAAAAGGTTTCTTGAGCAGCAAATCAGCATATATTAATAATTTCTGAAGGATCATTTGACACTGAAGACTGGAGTAAAGATCCAGAAAACTCAGCTTTTGTCATCATAGGGGAAAAAAATCACATTGAATTATGAATTAAAATAGAAAAACATTTACTTTCAATTTTAATAATATTTTACAATATTACAGTTTTATTTTTTGACCAAATTAATGCAGACTTGGTGGGCATAAGAGACTTCTTTCAGAAGAAAATAAGATTAAATTAATAAAATACATAATATTGTATTATTTAAAATAATGTTATTTTATTATATATTTTGTGCTATCATTATATGTTCATTATTATTATTATTATTATTATTATATACATTTCCTGAAGGTTAAGCACCCTTTACTTTGACATAAGGGTCAAAAACATAGTTGACTTAGTTGAAGCACATCCTCGGCTGTGTTTTGTTTGTGACAAACCTTTAGTTTGTAAGTCAGAGTAAGTCATAGCTGTCATTTTCAGCACAATGTAGGGGCAGTGAAATGTCCAGCTGAAGGACAGAGAGTGAAGTCATAAAAAGACTGGATTGATTGAGTCTGAGTGGTGTTGGTTGTCGTGGAGGCCCTGACTCCATTCCACTCGGCACAAAGACGCCATTGATCCTCCGCTGTCACATTATCCCACAGCCACTAGTGGAAAGAGGCTTTGTCAGGCCTTCGTTTCAGAGAAGATGAAATCAGCTATAAACATCTATAAACCTCTCCAGTTTACAGCAATGACTTGCTCCGGAAATGTTAACATGGTCTGTACGTTTGAGCAACTCGACAGAGGATGTTACACAATAACGTTTACAACTGTCATGTAATTCAGATATCAGCAAATTATTACAATAAAAGGTCACTGGTGATGCTTTTCCTTTATTAGAATTAGTACGGAAAAGTGGTAGAAGTAACAAAACTAAATAAAATAAAATATTAATTTTATTAAATAATAATTAATGTTAAAATAAAAGGTGATGCTTTTTCCTTCATTAGAATTAGTATGGAAAAATAATAAAATAAACATAAAAATAAAATAAAATACTTTAAATATTATTAACATAAAAGGTGTTGCTTTTCCTTTACTGGAATTGGTACGGAAAAGTGGTAGAAGTAATAAAACTAAACTAAACTAAACTAAACTAAACTAAACTAAACTAAACTAAACTAAACTAAACTAAACTAAACTAAACTAAACTAAACTAAACTAAACTAAACTAAACTAAACTAAACTAAACTAAACTAAACTAAACTAAACTAAAATAAAATAAAATAAAATAAAATAAAATAAAATAAAATAAAATAAAATAAAATAAAATAAAATAAAATAAAATAAAATAAAATAAAATAAAATAAAATAAAATAAAATAAAATAAAATAAAATAAAATAAAATAAAATAAAATAAAATAAAATAAAATAAAATAAAATAAAATAAAATAAAATAAAAGGTCACTGGTGATACTTTTCCTTTATTAGAATTAGAATGTATTAGAAAAGTGGTTGAAGTAATAAAATAAAATAAAATAAAATAATTGAATGAAAATGAATGAAAATAAAGTGATTTATTTTTTAAATAATAAAACAATAATAAAATTAATAAAATAATAATAATAATAAAAGGTGAAGTAACAAAATAAAATAAAATAAAAATTATTAAAATAAAAGGTGATGCTTTTTCCTTCATTAGAATTAGTATGGAAAAATAATAAAATAAACATAAAAATAAAATAAAATACTTTAAATATTATTAACATAAAAGGTGTTGCTTTTCCTTTACTGGAATTGGTACGGAAAAGTGGTAGAAGTAATAAAACTAAACTAAACTAAACTAAACTAAACTAAACTAAACTAAAATAAAATAAAATAAAATAAAATAAAA